GTCATTGTTGTTTGGCGGGTCCGGGCTGGGGATTCGAACCCGCCACCTTAGGTGTACGTGGCTGGCGCCTTAGCCGGTTGAGCTATAGGTGCCGAGCCCAGACAGTCTAGTCTTTACACAGCCCCTTAAATATTTCCATCTACCATAACTCTGTTGTATATAGCAGAGAATTGACCATGTTCAGGGTCTCTCCCACAGTCACAAGTGATCAAAATGTTTCTCCTAACTCTACACAGAGATGTGGATCTGCCTTTCTTGCCACGGAAAGACCACTTCACTATGGAAGAAAAAAATCAGCATCAACTCCAAAAAGAGCCACAGTGAATAGGCAGTGAGGTTTAAAAACCTCAGCAAAGGGTTTAGAGGCTCTGTATCAAAGGATGCCTTCAACTTAGCTGGGCCTCAACTGAGATTATAGAATTACAGATACTCCCAGGAATCTCTCACACATAAAGATCAATTTTAAGAGCAGCAAACAAACTAAAAAAAATGTGAGGTGCCACCTTCACCAATAAATGCTAAATAACATCTACGCCGTCCAAAGCTGTCAATTCCAGCTGTCGATGTAGAGGACGAAAGGAGCAGAAGGCTCTGAGGTCTCTGCTGGCTCAGGGAGTACGGCACAGCTGCATTTAGGACAGTGGCTCTCAAAGTTACTCCAAGGTGGAGCCCTGACACCTCTGCACAACAATATCAATTCTGATATAGTCAATGAGGGAAAAGTAAATACTGCCCTTTGGGGGCAGGTCACTGTGGTTCAAATGATGGATGGCAGGAGAGTTCAAAAGCCACCACTCTAGATTAAGGTCTGTATTCTAAATTTCTGGGTTTATGGTGAAAAGAGCCTAAAAGAAGATGCCCAGCTCGGGAGAACACACGTCAAATAATGGGCAGAAAACAGAACCAACAAGAACAGGGTTTTAGGCACATAGAGCATCCTTAAACAAAACAACAGAATTATCTTCCCTCCCCGAATGGCCAAAAAAAGGAAGCAGGTGGTTGATAGAAGAATGTAACAAAAAATACCCTGATGAGACTATTGGCTGTCCCACTTATGAATTCTGACTTTTAGTAAGTTGTTTCACCTAAGTTTCAGTGTCCTCATCTGAAATGAGAGAATATTGTCTGTCTTATAGGACTGTTGTCAAAGTCAACCAAGATAATGTAGACAACAGTGCCCTGCACATTACTGGCATGTTATTCAAATATAACCTATTTCTGGACGTGTGCTTCCTTCCAGTGCATCTGTGAGCTGTCGGTAAACCTGCTATCCCCCTCACCTGCCCTTTTACTTACCTGACGATGAGCAAAACATGCCAGTGCTGAGAACCAAGAAGGCCAGCATCATGCGACTCACGTGCAGCCCAAACTTCTTGCATACAGCCCTAGGAGGAAAGCAAAGATGATGAGCACAGCAGACAGTAGGGACAGACACTTCAAATCAAAGGAGAAGAACGTTCCTGCAACACCGACAGCACTGAGGATCTGAAGTCAAATACACAACTATCTTGAAGGCGTTTAGCAATTCTACATCTGTAAGAAACCCAAACACTCTTATTCCTGGCACAGAAAAGAAGCTTCCTATGTAAGAGAAAATATCTACATGCTTAGATTATGTCCCCATCAATAGGAGAACAGCATGATGTGGTAAAAAACAGTAAGCCTCAGATTCAGATGGGCACAGGTTCAAATTCTGGCCCTGTCATATACTAGTAGTGAGATCCTACTCACGTGATCTGTCAGATTCCTCATCTGTAAAATGAGGATAATAAATAGGATCTACTTGGTAAGGTTTCTGTGAGGACAATGCAGAGTGCTTAGGAGAGTGTCTGGAACATAGTTTCTCAATAAATAGTAGCTGCTAGGGCGGTGCCATAGTTCAGTGGTTAGGGCGCCGGCCACATGCACCCAGGCTGGCAGGTTCGAACCCAGCCCTCGCCTGCTAAAACAACAATGACAACTGCAACAAAAAACAGCTGGGCGTTGTGGCAGGCGCCTGTAGTCCCAGCTACTTAGGAGGCTGAGGTAAGGCAACTGCTTAAGCCCAAGAGTTTGAGGTTGCTGTGAGCTGCGATGCCACAGCACTCTACCAAGGGTGACACAGTGAGACTCTGTCTCAAAAAAAATATATTAACCAGTTGGATGAAAGTATTTCAAATTGTATATAGCAACAGCACTCTGTACCCCATGATAGCATTAATGTACAAAGATATGATTTAATAAAACGATAAATAAATAAAATAAAATAAATAGAAGCCAAAAAAAATTCTTTATATATCTCAAATAAATAAATTAAATTAAACATAAATAAATAGTAGCTGTTAGAAAAACAAGACTTGGGAAACATGAAAATGGTAATAGTTCTTATCTAAATCAGTGTTTCTTAAATGTAGATTAATTATATATCTCCTTCTACTTCTTCCTTGTAGATTTTTTTAACCCCATAAATTAAACATTTTTGACATTTTTACTTCATTTAGTCAATATTTGTTCAGTTATATTCATGTAACAATTTCCTTACTCAGATTCCTTATTGCAACTCAGAATTCTTTCTGAAATAATTTTGCGGCTTCCTAAGTATATTTTTCAGAAGTTCCTTTACTGAGAATCTGTTAATAGGAAATTCTATTGGTTATTGGTTGTTTGGTTGGTTTTTCTTTCTTTTTTTCTTTTTATTGAAAAGTCTATTTAGCTCTTGGTCTTAAAGGATGGTTTGACTGAGTATACAATTTTAGGATGACGGCAATTGTCTCTTGGCACTTTGATGATTTTCTTTTTTTTTGGCTTCTGGTTCTAGAGAAGTCTCTAACTGCCTACCCTCCCCTTGGAGGTGTGCTATTAGTTCTCTGTCAGCTTCTAAGATCTTTTTCTTTGTACCTGGTGTTAGAAATAATTTTGCTAATTTACTTTTAAGTGTCTAGCTTGGGATATATTATGCTTACTAAATCTATGGATTAGAATCTTTTTTTCCATTAATTCTGGAAAATTCTAAAGTCTGATCAGCTGTATCTTAGATCTTTCAACTCTACACATTTCTTAACCTCCTCTATAGTCCTTCTTTTTGCAGAGAGGACTGCACTCTGCACTTCATTCTGAGCAATTTCTTCAAATTGATCTTTCAGTTCAGTTTACTAGTTTACTTATTAGCCGTGTCTCATCTGCTGTTTAAACTACCCACTGAATTTTAAGCATCAATAGTGTATAATACATGTATTATGTACATATCGTATATGATTCTTAAAAATTCTGATTCGTTTTCAAATTTACCTGTTCATTTCTGTAGTAATTCGTTTCTTATTCATGTTTTCAATTCCTTCTTGTCCTTCTAATTTCAGATTCTCATTTTAATAATTCCTAATAAATTGTCATAGGGCAGCTTTCTGTTGATCGTTACTTCTGAGGCTCTCACTCAGAATGTCTTGTTCCTTCCTGTGCCTTGTGATTTAATTTTATTATACTATCTTGTTCACCAGAACGCTATCACTGGTAATTCTTTGACAGCTAGGTTAAGGGTCCATTTCTCTAGAGAAATTTTTTCCAGATTCCAAGGGCACTACCAACTCAGAACAATTTAAAATAAATTCTCTGCATTTCTATGTCCTTTATACGTATGTATAAAATGTAGATATATACATAAAAATAAATTTCCAGCGTGGAGCTGGGGCCCGGAATTCAGGCCCAAACCCATATAGAGACCAACTCCTGGTTCCAATCCTCAAAGGCGACCCTGGTTTTGTCTTCTTCCCCTTTGTTCCACACGGAGCCAAACAAAGGCTAAAGATTTTTTTCAATCTGACATTTTTATCTATTGGAAGATTTTTAATTATGGTCAGTCAGTCCAAATATCCCTTAATATACATTACAGAATTAATAAAATGTTTGTTAGGTGTCATGTACGCATAGAAAAGGTGGCTATTTTTATTATTGGAAAACTTCCGTGTGCAATAGTTCCACTAATATTCAGTTAACAGTAGCTGCTTTGTGAAACAGAAGGACGTCCTGAGTGCAAATAAGAGCAGTAAGTTCCACACTGGGAGTAGTTTTGTATCAGCTAAGCTCTAGGTAGGGGTAAATTATGATTCTATATCTATCCTAGCACCAGAAACAAATTTCCATTAAATCTTACCAAGTAAAGACCAGTTAAATATGTATTAACAGAATTAAAACTAATGGTATGAGAGTATGGTATTTATGAACCTCAGGAAAGAAAAAGATAATGAGAAGTACACCATTCCTTTTCAACTGTTGGTTTCAAACAAGAAGGCAGATATAGTATGAAGCACTAGAAGGAAAGTAATTTGTATTTCTTTTTTTTTAGAGACAGTCTCAATTTATCCCCCTCCATAGAGTGCCATGCTGTCACAGCTCACAGCAACCTCCAGCTCTTGAGCTTAGGTGATTCTCTTGCTGCGGCCTCCCAAGTAGCTGGGACTACAGGCACCTGCCACAACGCCTGGCTATTTTTTGTTGCAGTTTGGCCGGGGTCAGATTTGAACCTGCCACCCTCGGTATATGGGTCCGGCGCCCAACTCATTGAGCCATAGGCGCCGCCCTGTAATTTGTATTTCTAATCACTGCCCCCTAGACCATCAAGAGAAATAATCTCAGCTAAACTGGGCTTTCCCACAGCCCTCTGAGAAGCACAGCTTGTATACTCACTTGTAAAAGTAAAGTTCACAAATACAGCTCACAAAAGCCAGGAGACATCGCAAAAAGTAAAAGACGAGAATCTGAAAAAAACCCAGGACAAAAAAACAGAGTCATAGATATGAGCTAGAAAAACTCATAACAAGGAAACCACTCTCATTTGTCATCAGTAACTATAAATTGATATAATTCCTTTCAAATACGCTGTGTAGCAAGAACTCTACAAATTTTCATGTCCCTAGTCTCAGTATCAGTATACTTACATCCATCAATCCAGGAGGCAGGAGGTGGAGGGCAAAATCCATTCACAAAAATGTTAACTACGGCACTATTAATTTAGCAAAAACTATTCTTGTTCAACTAAAGGAACTTATTAAATAAATTATGCTACATCTATGTCATGGACTATTACACAGATATTAAAATTTAAAGTTATAAAGACAGTGAAAAAGTTTTCACCACAATATTCATTCAACAACCACTTCTTTAGCAATATATATTAGGTACTGATGACTACAGAATATTAAGTGAAAATGCAAAATGCAATGTTATTAATGCATCAGAAATGTATAGATGTATCATAAATTATATGCACATGAAAAGAAATATAATAAAATGGTAAGGGTAGCTATAGCAGCCTGGTAGGATTTAGGTGAGTATTTTTCTGCAATTCTTCCAAATTTCTACAATGTGTTAATTTTATAATTAAGAGCAATGGTTTTGGCTTGGCACCTGTGGCTCAAGTGGCTAAGGCGCTAGCCATATACACCTAAGATGGCGGGTTCCAATCCAGCCCAGGCCCGCCAGACAACGATGCTGGCTGCAACCAAAAAATAGCCAGGCGTTGTGGCGGGCACCTGTGGTCCCAGCTACTTGGGAGGCTGGGGCAGGAGACTCTCTTGAGCCCAGGAGTTGAAGGTTGCTGTGAGCTATAATGCCACAGCACTCTACCCAGGGTGACAGCTTGAGGCTCTGTCTCAAATAAAAAAACCCAAGAGCAATGGTTCTCAACCTTCCTAATGCCACGAGCCTCTAATATAGTTCCTGTGGGTTGTAACCCACAAGTTGAGAACTGCTGATTAAGAACATTGAATTCAAAAATAAAAATAACAAAACTATAGGGAATTATACTGAATAGCTTTTACACTACAGAATACCATGTTTAAGAGCACCAAATTCCTCAAAACATAAGCATTACTTAAATGCATAGTATAATTAATATAAGAACATGTAACTTAGAAATACTTTCCATTTTGGGGCCAGGCACAGTGGCTCATGTCTGTAATCCTAGCACTCCGGGAGGCCGAGGTGGGTGGACTGCTTGAGCTCAAGAGTTCAAGACCAGCTGAGCAAAAGTGATACCCCCATCTCTACTAAAATAGAAAAACTGAGGCAAGAGGATCACTTAAGCCTAGGAGTTGGAGGTTGATGTGAGCTATGATGCTATGGCACTCTACCCAGGGCAACAGCTTGAGACTTTGTTTCAAACAGAAAAAAGAAAGAAATACTTTCCATTTTCATCACTACAACCAAAAAAATTCCGAGAAGAGATGAATACAGCAATCCAGTGAATGTACAGAGTCATTAAAGTAATTCAATAAAAACATAGTGGAAACCTACTATACACTGAGCACTATTCTAGATGCTGTTAGAAATACAGATAATTTTAGTGCAAGGTGTCTTTGTTCAAAACTCCTCATCTTGGCTCTGTAGCTCAACCAGCTAAGACACCAGCCACATACACCAGAGTTGGCAGGTTCAAATCCAGCCCCAGCCTACCAAACAACAATGACAACTACAACCAAAAAAAAAAAAAAAAATAGCTGGGTGTTGTAGTGGGCACCTGTAGTCCCAGGTACTTGAGAGGCTGAGGCAAGAGAATTGCTTAAGCCCCAGAGTTTGAGGTTGCTGTGAGCTGTGATGCCACAGTACTCTACTCAGGGCCTCTGTCTCAACAACAACAACAAAAAACTTCTCATCTAATTGGGAAGAGTATAAATGAATATTTAGAAAATTAAAAATTAGAGCAAATTAACATGAGAATTGTATTTTCCTACCGATATTCAACACATAAATGGAAGCTGGAGTCAACGCAAAAGACGTGAATAAGAAATGAGGTGTAAAGAATGGAATAGAAGAAACTAAACTAAACTTAACATACAAAGATGAAGAAAGAACCTTGAGATTCACTTGACAAACTAGTAAGGAAATTCCGTGAGATATTTAATATTAAGATCAAAATACAAAAACCAATTGTTTTCCTCTACACCAGAAATACCCACTTAAAATATAACAGAAAAAAAGATACCGTTTATGACAACAAAAAGCACAAAGAAGTCTGGGCATTAACTTATCAAAGACTGCAGAAGACTGAAATGGATACTTTTAAAAATTTTATTAAGAGGGGCAGTGCCGGCCCGGCACCTATAGCTCAACCGGCTAAGGCGCCAGCCACGTACACCTAAGGTGGCG